AAGAGTTGTCTTCTAAAATTAGAAGCAGTGGTAGGAAAAATCAGGGTGCCCTTCCCATAGCAGCGGCCAGGATAGAGGAGGGGGCAGCCTAACTGCAGGGGAAGCAAGGACACAGTGCTGAGCTCCTCCTGCTAACTGCAGCCCGAAATTAAATGGTGACGCTGCCAGGAAGTGAAGACAAGGCAACCTCTTCTCCCCAAAAGTACCCTTTCCCCCTACCCCTGGAAAAATAAGCATAATGCATAGCATTAGGCACTGTGGTAAGTTCTATGCAGCTGCAACGTTGTCTTGCTCTCATTTGATTTTATTGGGAAGTTCTGTCCTTTCCACTGGGTGGAAACCAGAAAACTCCTGCGAGGGACCTAGCTCTCATTCTTTACTACATTTATAAAGTGATTTAGAAATAACTTTACAAAATGGGCGCACCACACGCTTGAAGAGCACCTGAAGTTACGGGCCTGAAATGAAAGCCCATGGGTCTGCCAGCAGATCTGCTGCAGCCAACGGCATGTCCTCGGTCTGCAGCAAGGCTCTCTCCAGTAACGCACCATAAGCAAAGACCACACTGCCCACAACGTGCACGAAGGCTGTAAGGAGCGACCGCAGAAAGCTTGGCTGATGTACGTCAATGTGTTACTTTTTTCTGTCTCGGACCCCTAGGCTTGCTCCCAAGCTGACCCAATTCATCTCACTTTGGGCCAAGCCCATTGCAGCGTTTAAATCCTGGTGAAAACTTTAAAAACACAACCCATGAGAGATGCAAGAGGAAAAGGGAGAGATCTGAGGTACCGCCAACATCTGTGCGTACCGATCCAGGGAAGTGTGGGATGGGAAACTAATCCAAGAGGTGGGAAACCAAGAAAGGGAATGGACAAGATGCCCCTGCTTGGGAGACACGATGGCCCCAAGCAAGAGGCCATCTTCCTGGAAGAAGGAAAGCAGAAAGTATTGTAGTCATTCTGGCATTGTTTAAATCTGAAAATTGCGTCCCGTCGGCAGTAGATATCATGACGATGACACCACCATTAAATTGTCAATCAAGTTTAATGCATCATAAAGAAGTAAAACTACATTGGCATATTTAAGACAAACACTTTTTTTTTCTATGCACACTATCCACTGGACAGTCCCCTTTTCAAAATAACTACTTTTAACAGTCCAAGACACTTCTTCAGAAATTCTTCACATATTCAACCTTCAACGCTTTTCCTTTTTTTTTTTTTTTTGTCTGAGAAGGAAAAAAATCATTAAACCTGAAAACATTTACATTGCAAGCCACGTTAGAATGCATAATTGGCATACAATAACCAATGTATAACAATTGTGTTTTACTTAGTTCACTTTGTTCATCAATAAAAGAATATAAAAATCTTGCTCAACCGAGTGTTGTGTATTAAAATAGATTTGTATAGTACTGCACAGTTTCTCCCGGAGTTGTGAAAATGGTTGAAGGGACCATGTGCTGCCTAGTGATGGGCGACGGAAAAAGCCAGTCCCTCGTGTGTGGGTTTTTTTTTTAATTTAAAAAGAAAAAAAAAAAAAAAAGCTATTCGGCACCATGTGATATGCTGATGTGAGAGACTAGCCTTGTGTCGTGCTCTGGTGGCTTCTTGCTTTCCTTAAGTACCTGTTGTGCTATTTGACGGAGAACTCATAAACGACAGAGACGATGGCATCTGGTGTGTGGGTGTGTGCGCGCGCGTGCGTGTGTGTGTGTGCAACGTTGAGAAAAACCGGGGTGCCCATCACTACCTTCCCGGGCAGGCCGCAGGGTGACGGGGGGCTCTGTGGCCTACGGGGGGGGGGCCAGGCGGACCCTTGCAGTATCAGGAAGACTAGCTAGTGAAACAAGCAGGCGCACTGGGATTTTTCTCAGGCTAATGCTAAACGCTTCCCAAATGTGCTAAAATCCAACAAAAGCTTAAAAAGGAATCAAGTTTAAAAAAAAAAAAAAACAACCAAAACCACCCCAACAAACACTTAAAATTTTCCATGGCCTGTCCCTCCCCCAAAACTCTTGATATTATCCAGTATGAGAAACAACCCCTTGAGGCAGTTTTTTTTTTTTCCTGTACCATTTCAGCAGATATTTCTGCAAGCAAAAAAGAAAGAGAATAATAAAAAAAATCTCGTTACATATTTTTAACAATAAAAATGCAGTACAAAAATGTAAAGTTATCTTTTTGGCATATTATCTGTACTGGCAAGAAACAAAAAACAGAATATTTATTTGCTTTTTTTCTTTAAAAAAAAAATTCCAAAATTAACAAAACAGAAAACCCCCAAAATAATCTCTTTAAAAAACAAACCCGACCTGCCAAAGATATCCACTATTATGGTTGATGCTAAATCTTGCACAAAAACTCCATGAGAAAAATACACCGATAGCAAAATAAGTAAAAAGGACCTGCAAAAAAGTAAGGAGTTTTACAGTCATACTTTTTTAAATACTTCGGAACGCATATACAGAAGCATCAGCATGAAAATACTTCAATATTTTACTAGAAACGCTAACTTCATACAGTTTCTTTATTTAAATATCTGCAATTCTCAACTCTAATAATACTGAAAAAAACCGATCTTTTGTTTCGAAGGCTCTGTGAGTGTCCATGACGCCGTTCTGGTCAAAACGGCCCCATCTCCAGGTCACCTGGATCAACGGGGCCAACTTTGTTCCTCTGATAAGAATCCATGTCGAGTCCTAAGTAGTTCAGTTTCTGGTTATCATCTCACCGATTTCCCTCCCACACACAGCTTTCAGCCCAACTACTTCTCTACTAGCTCACTAACTCTTTGCATTGAAAATTTTCCCCCTTACAGCAGAACTGGAAACCTGTCTGCTCCCCACAAAAGGATATCCCACATCCTATCGGCCATACTTTTCCTGGTCATCCTCAGTCATAAATACATTAAGGCCAACATAACAAAAAAAATCTCATAAGCACTGAAGGTCTCGGCAAATACAAAACCGCAGCACAACCCGCTCCGTGGGAACCTGCTGCCACAGTGACCTACAAACTGGACTGATTGGTTTGCAAGTTTCTACGCGTATCAAAACTGAGATTGTTCCTTCTCTCCTTTGTTTCAGTTTAATCTCTCCTCTGCGCATGTGTATAAAGTTCTTTTTTTCCCCCCCCTTTCCTTCGCTCTCCCGCAGCCGGCTCTGTCAGTTGTTACCCTGTGATTGCTGCAAGGCTTTGTGCATGGCAGCGGAGGCAGAGGAGGGTTTGATCCAGGGGACAGTTAGCAGGGAGGAGGTGGTGGTGGTCGTCATGGTAACCTGAATCATCTGCTCATTTTGTATCAGTCTAATGAGGGTTTTGAGACGTTCCAGTGATGACTGAGTCCCTTTCTGCTGGGCCAACAGGCTGGTTTTTAGCTCTAAGCATTTCTGTCAAATAGAGAGGAGAGAGAAGGAAAGACTGAGCATACATTCAAATTGGTGTCAAACATCTCTCCAAACATCCTTTTGTGTCTTGAGTGCACGTCCTGCTCAAATGAAGTATATTCTCCTTTGGGGATAGCAAAACCACAGCTTAACGAACGGAGTAATCACCAGCGCCGCATACGCTGCAGCAGCTGTCTAAGGTAACAATATTCATCCCAGTCCAAATGCATTCGGAGGACATTTCCGACCTCATCCCACAGACAGCCTGGCAGAAATGCCTTCTGCACTCCAAAGGGATGGCTGGCACGGGATTGGAATAGCTGTATTACTGGAAAGTACCGAAGCCACCAGTGAGGTGTCGAAATCTTACCAAATGGCACTGAGAAACGCTTGAGGGATAAACCTCACCGTGATGCATTTTGTACGTGCCACGCGGTTTAGGGAAGTCAGTACTGTGAAGATGAGTCGATCTCTCTAAACATGATGTCAATATTTTTCTGGCAGAAAACTTGATCTAAGACTCTACTGTCATACACCACTGCCATCACAAGAAAGCCTTTTTCCTACGGGGTGGCCAAACGGCACCCCACAATCACTTGAAACATTTCATACAAACCTACATGAAAATGAGCTTGAGAGCAGGAGCCAAACGAAGGCATCCCAAATCTCCCTCATCTCCAAGAAGAGATAAGGAAGAATCGGGAATTCTCATTTCCCTCCTGTTTTCTTTCACCCAGTGGGCTCAGGGGTCTGGCAAAACTGGTTACTTGTCTGCAGAGATTGCTCCTCTTTGGCTATGGTCTAGACTGCCCGGGATAGGGGGGTGGTCTCCAGTCCTGGGGAAGGGGCAAATGCTCACTTGAAAGTCAATTTGTTTGAAAACCTGGTCAGGGGTGGGTTTAGACCGGTGACATCTCAGGTGAAGGATAAATCACATTCTGTTTTTCCAAATAATACCATTCCACCTGTGGTGTGTATGAAGGTTTTCTCTTTAATGTAAATCCCTGGTAAGGCAAATGTCAGAAATTAAATTGCTCTGTGCTGGCACAACTTTAATTGCTTTTCTCCTTTCAAGTGGATATATCTCCAATAAATATAATCATCAGCTGATATTACCATTTAAATAAGACAGTGTGGCCCACTGAAAGAATCTGATTCTGCTTAGGTGGATATCTTAGTGATTTTGCCAGCCCTGATACACACCTGATAGCTGACTGCATCCCCAAATGCTTTTCTTTTCCCGAACACCTCATCCCACTGTCCCACCTACTAAAGATACTCTGTACCCCAGAGTCACTTCTTCATACATATGTGTGTTTCCATTAGTGCTGATGGTGGCTATACACACTTACAGAGAATATTCCCCACTGTGATGTCTTTTAATAAGTCATTGCTTTCCTTCCACTCTATTTTAAATGTGATAAATATTTTAACATGCCTCCTCTGGGTAACTGTAGTGGTAAAACAACTAGTGACCAGTTACTCCTGCAGCTGCCACTTTGATTTTTCCAGGGTAAGGAAGTTTCAAATATTTATCGAGACTGCCATGCTAGCTACCCCTTAAGAGTGGGCCTGAGGTGAGGTAGCCCCAAATAAGTTCTTTCACCCATGAAGGATAGGAATTGTGGCATTGAACTCAGCCCGCTCATCACTGCCTGAGACTGGTCCTCATAGCACAGTATGTGTGGGAGACATCTCTAAGCCAACAGTTAGCTTTGAAACGAGTTCATGGAGAAAAGGATTGTGAATGCATTTCCAGTCATGAGGACGTTACAACATTCAGCCTCTAAGACAATTAACGATGGTTATTTCTGCCTAATCTCAGGAGTTTTGAGCTAATGAACAAGCAGGTGCCACTGGAGGACACGCTTGTGGCTGAACTTTTCCCCTGGAGAATGGAAGTGTCTTAAAGTCCCTGGCCAGATGAGAGCTGTGTATGGTGCTACATGGAAGGCAGGCACAGCGATGCTGTGGGAGGAGGGGTTGCGTGCAACAGGAATTCAGTCACTGGTGATTTCTCCTCCTCAGCCTGCCAAAGCGGCTTGCTTTTCTGCATAAAGAAAATCCATGTGTTTTTCCTCAGAGAGAAACACACGCACACTTGAACATCTGTAGCCGGGGAGCATAAATCATTTTCTAGCCACAAAATACCAGGTTTTCAAGCATAAATTCTTTATAAGCATCTCCGCAGGAGACTCTGTGTCCCCAGTCAGGTGTCCTACCTTCACTGCATTGTTGAGAAGTCGATCTTTTTCTTCTAACTGTCTATGCTCACTCTTCAGCTCGCTGCTTCTCTTTAATAACTTTCGCTTCTCTTCTTCTTTGACTACGGAACAATAAGATTAAGGATGCAGAAGTTAAGAAAAGGACATACGGCAAAACTGTGCGCTTGATAACCAAAAGCAGAAGCATGTATGTTGAATGGTGAGTTTCAGGTCTCATTAGCCTTTTGTCGGCAGGTACAGCCAAATAAATCTGGAGTTTCTGCTTGCATGCATGTGTCTACGTCAATGGCTAGAACGCAGGACAACCCAAAACCTATACTGCACCTTTGAGATGCATTAAAATTAATCCTTGGACCACGTGTGGTCCTGGAGGACTCCAAGAAAGAGGTGAATAGTATTTAAGAACAGGTCAGCCACCCGAAATGGCAATAGTTCGGTGACCTTGGCTGAAAAGCACCATCATAACAGTACCAGACCCCTGCAAAGCTCCTTACAAATACAATCTAATGCCTGAAACAGCCCATTGTAAGAGTGCAACAGAGAACTAAAAAAGAGTAACGGTCAATGCACAGCTATCATACGACATCTGATACTATTAACTCCGATATCACATAATACCGAAACAATTAAGAGCTGATATTACTGTAGTATCTGAGACACTAGTCTGGCATCATGCTACATACCCAATTACATGGCTCTGCCTACTCTGACTGTGTCTCTCTGCCTCCCAGCCTGATACAATTCTGCCTCAAAATCCTGTTTTCAGTCCTGTTCTCAGGAAGGCACCACTTTGATGATAGCCTCCTCCACAGAGTAAAGTACCTGAGGGATCAATCTCAGCTTCCTCAAAGAGAGAAGACAGCAAAGGAGCAGACCGAGGGGAAGGGGAGAGCAAGACACCTGCTTTTCCCAGCCACAGGCCCTTACAGCCCTTTGCTTAACAGTGTCGTGATACCCGGTAGCATTACAACGCCACTTTAATATCAGTGCCACGAAGGACTCAAATGGCGTCACCCGTCACGAGCAAAGAACCCCTTGTCATTAGCTGTGTTAATCCCTACCTGTTTTATGAGTAACATAGGAGTGAACAATAGCCAGAGTTCCAGTCCATGGCACATTGTCATCTTTCTTTAACACCTATAAGCCCAGGAAACAATAAAAAGTTAGGACTCCACAAAGACAGGCATTAATGGTTTTTTTCCTCCAGCTTCACAGTTCTGCGGGACCAGATCTAGGGGCCTTGTCTCAGAATTTGCAAGCTGAAAAGTAACGAGACAATAATTTGAGTAGCAATCTCCCTTGGGGCTTACTCCTTTACACATGACTATAAACAGCACTGCCAAACAGCGCTAAAAGGGGGTTACAAATCCTCTGTTTCTTGTTGCCGTGGCTGGAAGACATTTTTCGGTCCCTGACAAGCAGACCTCCGCACTGTCAGGAGAGCTGTCTTCTCCGCGTGGGAGAAGTTGCCGGTCCCTATGAAAATACGACTGCGCAGATCTAATCCTGGGCTGCTCTGCTCTCTGCAACTGCATGCTAAAATTTCCCTTTGACATTTTCAAAGGAACATAACAGTGATCTCCATGCTAAATATAAAGAATTCTAAGGCACAAAACCTAAGCCTCCACTCTACAATTTAGTGGCACTGTACTGTTTTAGTAATTGTTTTCCTGTTCATGCAATCAGCATTATTCACAGCAACTAGACAAATCAGCATTTCTGACATGGCTATGATCAATAGCTACGTGTAATAAGCATGATTTAAGGAAAAGAAAGTGTTTTCCTGACAGCTTTCAGATCCACTGGTGAACAGTGTCTCCTCCTGACACGGTCTCCCTCGTCCATAAGATTTACGCTACTTGTCTGGCAATGCTACATCCTGGTGGCTTTATTGTAAAGAAGGGAAACAAAGGAAATGAAGAGACAGTTTAAAAGGACAAATCTCAGCAGATGTGATTACAGGGAAGCTGAGGCACTCAGTGTATGTCCTAACTCTAGGACCATGAAAATACCAGAAACAAATGCTGCAAACTGTACTAAAAGCCTCTCAGTATTACCTGAGCTAATGTAGTCCCCTAAGCCATGACCATAGGTTAGATTAGTTTAGTGGTAGACAAATTTGAGGTTTCTCCCGTTTTCTTTTCTTGGCATGCTATGCTCCATGTAGCTTACCTTCTGTTGGCACTTTGGACAGACCCAGACCCCCTTGGGAGCAGTTTTGAGGGGCGGGTCCAAGCAGTTGAGGTGATATGCTCTGGGACACGTGCCGCAGGGCTGCAAGTTAACGCCACGCTTGCAAGCAGTGCAGTGCTCATCGTGGTGGATCTCATTCTGTAAAAGAAGAAGGATGGCTTGAGTAAAGTCAACCCATTGAGAACTTCTGTCTATGCAGCATTCAAAGCCACTACTGCAGCAGCCAGCTCATTGAAACGCAAAATCTAATTGTCAAAAGCACCCTGGCCGCTGTAGAAGAAGACGGAAGTAATGGTGTATGATAGCAACAAATACAAACAAACAAACAGACAAGTCAGAAGCAAGTTCCATAAATTGAAACAGATAGAAAGATAAAAAACAACTGATCAAACACAGAAGGGAGTCAACTAATATGGGCAGCTTGTGATGTAGGAATTATTGCACTTGCTTTTGACAATGTGTCACTCCGACACCCGCCATCACCACGTGCAACTCTATTTTGAAGCATGGGTCAAAGTCAATATCTGGATCACTTGTCCTTCACGTTCAAAGCAGAAGGAAACAAGCAAGGAAAAGTTTCTGGGGGAAAAAGCAAAGTTCCATGTTTTATGCCCGTTGCCTCAAAGAGCAGCTAGGAAAACAGTATGCTCGAGCACAACCTTTTGCTACGTACCCTCTTTTGAGAACTCCTCTAGAGGGCTCCTCTGTCCCTCTGTTCTCCCTGGCACTAATTGTTCCCTGTTCAGACTTGCTCTGACAACCTTTCTCCAACAAGACTGATTAGTACTTTGTCTGAAGCAATATATAAAATGAACTAAGACTCATCAACAAAGTTACAATGTCATGTAGTAAATTGCTATGCTAATCTGGTGGCAACGTTAATTACTCTTTGTATAATTAAGTGCATTTTAATAAAGGAGATACTGATTTTCAAACTCTCATGGCTTGTGAATCATTATAAAAAAAAAAAAAACACCACAAAATTTTCCTAGTGCTTTTCCAGGAACGAAAATCATAATTTTGTACCTTTGTTAATTCTAAAAGCATATTTTCATTTTTAGGGATATTAATTATAATGTTTCGTTATAGTTTTAGTCAGGCTTATATCTTGAATTCTAACTCAGTTCTGCCAAAAAATCGCTCTCCAAAATATAACTCTTTAGAAATTACTTGCTCAAAAAGTCTTTATTTTAACCTCAATGTAAAGAGATTTAGTCTATACAAACTAGCATGTTGACTCATTTTTCTTAAGATTTTCATTAAACCCACAAATCTGGACTAGCAATTTCTCAGTCAGTGGATTCTACGAAGGGATTAAACTCAAGCCTTGCATATGAAAGCCCAAGAGTTCACCCCTTTGAAATTCTAACTTAGAGGCTCAAAGATTTAGTTAAGTGGGAGATGTTTCACACAAGCCGTATGACATGCAAAGAGAATACTGCAATTTTGTACCTTGATAGAGACTACGATAACCAGAAGCAAGCACTGAATTACACGGTGATGAGAAAGACACTGATAATACACAAATTTTGCTACACGTACCTTCCAGAATGGATCCTCATTTGCTAGCGTATGAAAGAAGGGCAGAGAACAGATTAGTCAGAAATACAACGCTGCAGTGAAAGCTAGTTCTCAGCTATGGGACTAATTTTAGTCAAGCTGCGACACAGGAGATCACGACATTGCCAAAATTAACGCCGGCAGCAAAGAATGCAACAGCAAGCAGTGGAATTAGCACTTGAGATTTAAAAAATTACATTGCAGGCATCCTGTGTCCGAAGATCTGATGCTAAAATGTCGTCGTATGAGAAGCACGCTCTGTTTCAAATTTTCAAAAATGTTCATGTGGAGCTCCTCTCCACATGCCCGTAGTCAAAAAGTCTTTCTTAAGGACTTCAGGCTGCTGGGTGATGAACAGTCTGGCCCCGAACCAGCAAGGCACTTAAGCAGGCGCTTAACTTAGGAGTATGAAATCGGTGCCACTGACTTACCGTTAAACACATGTTTACATGTTCAGCTGATTCATGGCCAAAATGGTCAGCTACTTGTGGGAGCGAGCTTTATGTTATCATCAACTCTTTATCATTAAACTACTCCCACCCGAAACGCCAAGGTTTTCTGACCTTTTGATGAACCAAGTCTGTAGTGATTGCATTCACAGCCTGATCAGAACAAGAACCATCACAGCTCACTGGAAAGCAGGCCAAGCCTTTCATAATAATATTTGTGAAATTCGTCACACTTTGGTCCAAAAATAAAAAGCGAGAAAATTTTAACAGCTTTATGGACACCGCACAGTGGGTTGTAATTTTTCCTGCTTATTTGTAAGAAGCTGATGCATGCTGTTCAGTGACAAATAGCTGATGGAGGGGCCTTTCTTTGGGTTAAACTGGAGACCACCAAACTGATATTTCTGTCCTTCTGTCCTTCTTCAGCTCCCTCTCTGATCACAGACGGCAATATAGCCCCCGCAACGTGATCCATCATATACAGACCGACCTGGGAGTTGCTTCCTGCTGTTACACATTCATTTGATGCACCGATGTGCGCATACACGTGAAGATGCAGACACATTCACACACATGTAAAAAGAGGAATGTAAGAACGAAGGAAGAGCTTCACCTAAGTTAGACCAAAGGTTATAAAGCCCAGAGTTCTTTGCTAACAGCATCCAGTGCTGCCACTCATGCAACGAGTGCAAGAACAGGGCAAGCACAGAGTAAATTTTTTTACTCCAGAAGTACCCTTCCAGACGCTAGCAGTTTATGGCCTTTGCTAACCTGGATTCTGCGTCCCAATTTTTATATTTAACAGCCTTAGATAGATTTTTTTTCCTTCCATAAATTTGGCTACTTTTCCCCAACAATTGTAGCATCCTTTGGCAATGAGTTCCATAAATAATCACAGATTTATAAAATCTGTAGATGTCACTTCACATACACAAATACACACATAGAGATCCGCCGCGATATGACACTGCGATTACTCAGGGGATATAAATGTTATTCAGATAAACACAGGCTTGATAATTGAAGAGTCTTTTCTCCAAATGATACATGTCAGGGGATGTGACCTCATTTCAGGTAAGACATTTTCAGATAAATGAATCCTGATTAATTGACATTTTGCTGAAAATTTACAAGAATTGTTCTCTTCTGCATTTCTGGAAATGACAGCTGTTTCCTGTACTTCATAGGGGTTTATTTTTAGTTTGTGTTCTTCTCTTTTCAGCTCACTTTTACTATAAAGTTTTCAACATTTGAAAACATGTCCGCTTCTGCCTTCTAGTCACTGAAAAATTAAACTGAAGACAACTTTTTTAAATGAGCGTTTTATAAAAGAGGAGGGGCGGTCAGCTCTGCGCTGAAGCCGAGTGCACTGCTGCCGCGCCAAGCTGCCTGGGACAGCATCTGCCTTCGGCTCAGAGCTTACAGACCATCCGGCACAACAGCGCTCGGTGCACATAGCTAATAAATCCCTACAGAGGTGGGGAATCCTGCTATAAAGAAGTCCAGCTTTAAATTGTCAGAATATGCAGAATTCCAGCACAGATTCTGGATGCCGGGAAAACCAGAGATAAAGGACTCGAAGAGGAACTAACAATTAAGGAGAGCGAGTCCTGATTTCCAAGTGGCTCTGAGACAGCCGCATCGCTGGAGCTCTGTCACTTGCCTACTTCCTTGTAAATAAAATGGGAAACACATGGTGGAAAGAAGGTCAGAGATATCAAACCCTAACTTAAATGAAATCCACCCAGGGGCTTAACAGCATGGCCTGCTAACATTGCCATTCTCTCCTGTTTTTTCCCATGTGTTTACATGGGAAAAACAAGTGCTAAGATAAGACAAATAATAAATTATAATTTTAATTTTGAAGATAAAACTAAGCCAGGAATAATGTTCTTTCCACTGGGGCTCACATGAGCATGGGCTCCTGCTAAGAGGCATGTCATCATAGCTGCTTACCATGTAATAACCTCCCTTGTCCTCTGAGACCCTGTGTGTTACAGGCATATGGTAAGTAGGGCAACTGTCTGCATCTAGCACAGGAAGTTATGCAGGCAGAGAGAAGAACCGCTGCATTTCAGCTGGTGATCCTGTGGCGCAGGAAGTCAAGGCAGGGCCAGAAAGGTGAATCTCAAGGACTGAACGTGATGCTTGACAGGGATATCAAGCAAACACCGAAAAACTGTCAAAACTTCACGTCTTAATTGAAATTGCCCCTGTAAATGCTTCCAATGCTGAAATAGTATTTGGCTTAGAAAAAGGACTGTCTTCCCTTACCTCTAATGCACCACGGTAAAGCCTAAGTTATACAGGCAACACAAGGGCAAGGACACAATCACATTTCTGTACTGGCTTTCTCCCCTCTTCTGAAGTGCAACTCAAGCTTCTCGCTTTCTCTCTTAAAATCCTATGTGGGCCACGTCTGAAGAATTAAAGTGTACTCAGTGCTCTCCTTGTTTCATCTCCCACCTCTGAACTCTTTGCCTTCCCTATGTGTTGCACGATTTTCCTGGAATGCGCTTCTTCACACGAGTTAATCATCATCATCATCCCCAAATGGCTCCTCTGAGTTGTTCGTTCTCAAGGCTTTTACCATGAAAGTTTCAGCATCTAAAGTTCTTGTAAATACAAGATTGGAAGGCATCTTCAATGCCATCAAATCTAGATTTATGGGTCCAGCTCTTGGAGTCAGAAAATGTGTGTGGATTTTTTAGCTATAGTTTTTTAAAGCAAAAGGTATGGTAAATTTCTAGCCCTTGAGGATGGACAGCAGTTTCTTAAAGGTGAAGAAAAGAAGCAAATGAAAAACCCAGAATAATAATTATTTTCTAAATCCCAATTTTTCAATATACATTTTTAAGCACCTGGGGTTGGCAACACTGCCTTCTTCAATTGGTCCTCTCACTGTGTGGTGCTTGCAATACTAGAGATTGGATTTTCCACTGATTGCAGAGACTCCAGATCTGTTTCTCCACAGTTTTGACCTTTAGCCTTATCCTTCAATTGTTTTTGCAGGAAAACCATCTGTTTTCACTGCACACTAAAAAGTGCAGGGACCTTACGCAAAGTAATGCCCTATGGTACCCTAGCAGTAATTCATATGAAATCCCACTAATAAATATTTAACATGTCATTAGAATAGTAGTATATTCATTTTAAAATATGCTTACCTCTTGTTGAAAGGAACAAGGGGTTATTCAAATAATTTGATGCAAGGCGTTTCCGCTACAAGGGAAAAGAAACCAACCACAGTGTCATTGAAAAGCGCTCTGGTTGTCTCTTACTTTTTCATATTAACAATCTCCATGAGCTTCCCTCATACATAACCAGTCGGTTCTGTGACTTAGAATATTCGTTGCTAACCCGAGACAGACATACGAACAGTTGCATTATTTACCTTTCTAACAATTCTTCATAGAGCAGTTTGATGTGAATTAGATTTTATTAACAAGAGAGAAATGGAAATAGCAAATTTTATTGATTGATTTCCAGGATATGTTCCAGAGGTTGGTAAGAGCGAGGCAACTGCAACAGTAACTCCAAGCCTAGCAGATAAACAATGTCCATAAGGGAAAAACTGCGTAATAAATTGTTGCTGTGACATCTTAATTTGCATATATAGAAATAGTGATGGACTTCCCACCTGCAGAAAAAATCACTACTTTCTGTGACACTTGCCTACAGTTCGTAGGAGCATATTTTGTTTGCAAGCAATGTATTAGGGCCTAAGCAAAATATTTTTCTTTCTCAAGTTAACATGTACAACCTCTAGGAGCTGGCAGCGATTTCGATTTGCTGAGGTCACCAAAGACTTTTGAACTTACAAACATAGACGACTGGAAACCTGACTGAGATGTTTAACTAATTTAATGCAGCCCATTGCCAACTCATCAGATGGTAAAAGTTGTTGGTCAATAGCAAGCCGGGCTTCATTAACAGTCTCTATAACCCCTAATTGTTTCTCTGAGCCATCCAATACTTGTACAGCAGGACTGGAAACAGCACCATTTTCCTCCATTAGATGTTGTTAGACTCTGCTTGGAGGAAAATTAGAGGGGTTTTGCTAATAAATGATATATTCTGTGGTGAGTAAACTGTTCTCTTATACACGGGTGCCTGCTAGTCTGTTGATGAATTTTGAATTGATGTTTCTTCCTTCAAAAAATATCCAGCCTGGCACTTGTAAGAATCCTATGGGGGAAAAAAAAAAAAAGAAAAAAAAGAAAAATAGAAAAAAAAAAAAAAAAAGCTTCTGAGAGTGGGAAAATAGAATGATATCTTTTTTTTTTTATTATTTTTAAAAAAGCTTTGAAAAGGAAAAGCACAACATTCAAGAGAAGACACAAGACCGTGATCGCATTTTTGTAATCAAGGAAGTTAGCATCACCACTACAGATGCTGAGCTCCTATCATTTTGAGGGGCATTGGCAAATAAAAAGTCTAATTTATATGCAATTTCAATTTAAACAATCATGAATTAAAGATCATTCAGTAGACTAACCGTAAATTAAACTGCACCAAAATGCCTGAAATCCCACAAAATACCTCAACTCACTGATTAGCAAATCAATCTGAGCAGCTAATTGATCAGAGAAAAACCATCTGCCTCCATTTTACTTGAACGGCATTCCCCATGGTCAGTACTTAATGACAGCTCCTAATGAGGACACAGCTGATCAGCCACAGGACTCTTTCACAGACATTTCTTTCTCCATGCCATCTTTCACTTCAGGATATACTTTTGAGAATAGATATAATGAGAAGTATGAACTAGGGGTGCAGCAGACCTCCTCTATCACCTCCTCCATCCCTACTCCAAGATAATTGAGTTTCTCACAAACACCGATCAGACTATGGCCACGAACCTCTGCTGCGAGTATTTTAATAAATTCATCAGGAGAAAAAAGTCTAAGAGAAGACACCACAAATTTAATGCTAGGAAGGCTAAGGGTCCTACTCTGTTAAATACTGGAGGTATGGACATCAGTATTTGCTCTGAAGAGGTTGCAAGAGAAAAGTTGAGGAGTTCTGAAGAATTCAAGTGCCCAGAGCTGCTCTGGAGTATAAAAATCTTCAATACTTTCAAAAACTGAACAATCAAGCCACTAAGCAGCTTGATTACTGGTGGGTTTCTTCTTAGCCTCATCTGTCTGCTGTCTGCCAACAAACACAGAAATCTGAAATGTTGGTATACCAAAAATTCTGCATCACTTGTACCTAAAGAAAGAAATCACTTTCTTTAGGCTTGAAGAACTCAGAGCACAGAGAAATTTTGCTTAAATGGAGCGCTGGCTGCAAATCAGTTTTCTTGCTGTAAGAAGTTCAAATAGTAACCCCAAACTGTGATGAAATTTTAAAGGTAGAATTTTAATATGCTGAATAAATGCACACATGCCAGTTCAGGAACAAAGACAAAAACAATTTCAGAAAAATTTATGTCTATTTATATGCTGCTTTTACACCAGGTTTACAATGCAATCTTATGTAGGACCAAATTTTGCTACTACCATAAATGTAACAGCAGAAGTTTAACAGACAACAGAGATTATGCAGAGCATTTTATTTCTAATTATGCATTATTATATTTATTATGCAGGCTTCCATAACCCCTGCAGAGCACATTGATTCTTAAACCAACATATCCCTTTTATGAATGTCACTAATAAAAAAAAGCAAAGTTCTCCATTTATTATTTGGCACATAGGAAAAGAGAAATAGCAATGCAAGTTTGAACATAATGCAGCGCTTCTGTTCTTCAGTTCTGACCTGGAGGGACCGTCTGCGTCGGTACAAGAGTAATTAGGTCCCATATTAATTTAGTCCTTTTGGCCTTTATTAAAACTAAGACGAATTCTAGTTTGAAGCAAGTGATGTTGTGAAACAGGTGAAAACCTGTTGCTTAGCTACTGAGATGAGATCTTTTCTTTCTTTTCCACATCAATATCTCTTCACAAGTAAATGTGTGGTTCTGCATTCATATATACTTTTGTAATAAGAAACACTTAAACCTTTTATTGACATGAAATAGAACTGTGTGGGGGGAAAAAAAAAGTGAATGATAAAGTACCTCTGTTTCCAAGAGTCCACTGTAGGCTGGATTTGCTGTGCTTCTTCTCTTTCTTTCCTGACGCTTGCTCTGGATTTCTGTAACCATGGAAAGAAACACGACTTGTGTGTTTCTCATTCACCAGGGAAAAATGTAGATCTAACTTGTTAAGCAAGACGCTCTTACCCTCAACCCCTTGGGCTTTGTGTTCAGTTTCAGTTTCTAAAGTATAATTGGGTTGCTTCAGCAATGATATTTGCTGCAGTTCAAGGTTTGACATTAATAGGCTTTTCCTTGTAAGATTCAGAACACAAGCATTTTTTATTTTTTCCTTCCTCCAAGGCGGACTTCTGCTGCCCTACCAGAGTTCTATTATGATCCCTTCAGACGCATATTCAGCAAGCATCGACAGAGAGCTTTCAAAATACTATCAATGTCTTCTAGTAACAAAAATGAAGCATTTAAAGCAGTTAAGCCTTGTAATTCCTAACAGATGAAAGCATAGAGATCCTTTTAAATTTAATTTACATTACTTTTCCTCTGCGGAGGTTAGAAAAATCACGGTCAGAATGGAATGGCTAGATTCAGTTCTAACTAGGGCATGATGATTTATTCATCCAAAAATATACAGCTTCATGATCCTGATCATGCAAAATGTTGTTATGAGCCATACGTGTATTTGTGTCACTGGAAACAGCAGCGCAAAGATAGGCTCATTGAATTGCAGTCCTGTTTGGAAAAGGGTGAAACACAAGAGAGCTCCCTTCCGCTAATTGGTAACACCTATCCAGGACGGTACTTGCTGAGGACTCCATCTAGCAACAATTAGTCTGCAAACTACTTCTGCAAACACATGCAGAAAGAGTGAGTGGATTCCTGGCCCGCTGAAATTTGCAGATTTAATGCTACTTTTATCTGAGCTAGGATTTTATTTCCGTCATATGGAATTTCTTCGTCCGGCTCTCTATGTAAGTTCAGAATGGTGACATTATTATAACCATGTATTTTAAAGCCTACTTTTTATTTTGATAATAAAGAGCAGACCTACTTTAGCAAGGAGAGCACCCTGTATCCATCCCATGACATGAAGCGTGCACGATTGGGGTGATGCTCTATTCTAAAATGTTTCCTAAGTGAATATTGTAAGGCAAAGTTTAGACTCTTGTCAGTCTAAATCCCCACGCGATCGTGATACCTCCATTCTGCCTTGCTGTAAGTCGACCTCTCAGAACAAGAGGAACTGGCAGGAGCACTAGCCCTTCGGCCTGGAGGGCCAGGGGCATACCCAACAGAAACTCAGGACACCATCTGGTTCTGTAGAAGGTCCGGCATCTCTTGTCAATGTCTGAGCTAAAGAGGTCTATCCCAGAACATCCTCAGTGCCAGGAAATGGCCTTCAGGATATTGAGCACTATCTCCTGTTTGCAGTCCCACAGTAAGAGACAGTCCAGCTTTCAAGATGTTTACAATAGATGGGAATAGGATTCCCAACACATAGTTCTGGTGTCCAGGCAGCCTTTCCACATGTTGATCGCTTCCCCACAGAGTAAAAGGGGCCATGTACCACTTTAAGTGTTGCTACAGTAAATGGTATTAATATCGTTGGGCATATCTCATGTCCCTAGAGACAAGGCCAACAGTCTGCATGGATTTTCTACTGTCCTTAGCTACAAGATATTGATTTGAAACTTTTCATTCATGAAGGACTGTTGGCTAAGCCACCACTCTTGGAGTGATAGATGTATCGGAAGGAAACTGGATAGACAAGAAAAGCAGAAGAGCAACTACTTGCATGTTCTGGCTGGGTTTCCCACTAGCACGGGAACATGTCACCTCTCACACTCACAAGGCGTTTTCTCCTAGGGCAATTCAAAGAGTGCAGACAGGTCTGTATTCACAGTCTGACATGAGCTAGACATATGCTGCCATGTGACTCAGGGAGCTATACAGAAACGCACTACCAAGAAATGTGTGATCCAAGACTGCACCGAGACGTGTGATAAACGCAATGGCTGCAACCGCTACCAGCATCTTGTTAACATCCTTGGTGCTATGCAGACTCCAAACCTGAGGATCTTGTTTGGGCAACAGTTCTGTCCCAGTCTGAAAGTACTTCCTATGAAATGCTCATCTGACTATGCTGAAATCTCCATCCTGAAGCTTCCAGACCCTTTGGCATCCTCTAAAGGGAATCAGGCCTCAGCAGCAGGGAAAGTGCTAGACACGGATCCAGTAGCCTGCCACAGAGCCACCAGAAGCAAGATGGTTGTTCTTGATGTCAGCATCAGTGCGTATAAAGGGAATGCTCTCGAAGCCAAAAGGTGCCAGAGATGTCACGACAAAGGAACCATGTGCCTTGATGCCAGGAAAGAAATGGAGGGAGTGGACCTCCACCGACTCTTTCCTTTGGTCCCAACAGTGTGAGCTGGAGCCATGGCTCTTGCAGCCAGGATCAGTGGTCAGTGAATCCACGCCTTGTGGTCAGTGAATCCAGAGCTTGCAGCATCTTGGCACCCGTGTGGCATTGTAGAGAGAAAGCTGGACTTAGGGCAGCCCGGGCTTAACTCTTTCAAAAGTGGTCACAGGGATACAAGACGGTGACTTTTCACTGGCACAGAAAAAGAAACAAAGAATTGGACACAGCAGAGTTTTCTGTGTCCATAACGGGGCCAAGTGTCTTCACAAGAGGACTGTGATGAATCTGTGGCTCTCTGCCCTTTTGGGTCGCAGGTTTAAGAGAGAATTTCTTCACTGCGTGCTCTCACCAAGGCAACAGAAATATTTGATGGAGTCTGAATCACACATGTGGTAGCTACCTGGAATGCAGCTTTGGAAGAGGCATCGCCATGGTACAGAGATAAAAGCTGGCTGGGGGGAAAGTAATAGCAGTGGGAATAGATGGAAATTAAGACAGAGAGAGAGTAATGAACTGAAACGGCTCTAGATGTTCTCCACCCTATGCAGCCATCAGGGAGGGAGAGCACAATATCAGCACTTTATTTACGGAAACTGTGAAAAAAAAAATCCATGTTTGTGATATAAGGAGTATGTACATTTAAGAGTGTATCTGTAAATAATCACAAATCACTATGCTACGATAAAACAAGATGTGCATTTTTAGAATGACCTGAACTAAAGAATTCTTTTAAAGTTTTCTATCTACTTTTTCTTTTCTTTTTTTTTTATTTTTTTATTTTACACAATGCTAATGCTAAAAGATGTTCTAAGAGGCTAGAGAAAGAGATTTAGTATGTTACAACCATGGACTGCATCACAGAATTGGGCTTATTCCTTAGTTTATTAATTTAAAAAACATAACCCAATCAGAAAAAAAAAAGCCACCTCTAAACTGTAATATGTTTGACAGAGATGAATAAATTTGAAGATAGCTTTATGCTGGAGGCAAAGCTTCAACGAGCTGCTGCCTTCATCAATAAACACTCTGTATGGTCATTCTGTGAGGCCCGTAATGACAATTTATCTTCAGTGAAAGCCGTCCCTTGCAGAATGTCAGTCGGTGGAGGCGGCTGTGCTCATGTACTGGAAAAGGCCTCAAAAGATGCCTCATGCTTGGGCTGTGCAGAACAGAGCTCTTTTCCCGGTGAGGGGAAAGATGCTTCTCTGGACATTAGGGGGAAAGGCTGCTAGGCTGATAAAGAAATCCATACAGAAGTGGATCATAGCCCTTCGCCACAAAATTAATGATTAAATGAAGAAAAGCAGTAACACTGTGAATTAATGATACTGAGTGAATAAGCTTTTAATGACCCAATCTTGATAGAGTTTCATTCCAAAAATGTGAAATTGAGAAATACATCAGAAGTACTAAAATAAACTGAACTGTGTAATGACCACTGCTTCCTGATAAATAGCAATGGCTGATAACCGTAAATATGACATAGTACTAAAATAATAACCTTTAGCATATGGAAGCTATAAGGGTATTTTTGACAGTTGTAATCACCAATACTCATGAAGAAATACCCTTTCCATAGCAAATAGCTCTTGGTGGGAGCCATTTATTTAAAGCTAGTAGGAACATAAAACGCGAATTCGTCTGAAAGAATCGATTCTGCAGGATTAGTATTGTAGCAGTTAAGTTCAAAACATGCGTCTCCGCACTTACTGTAGAACAAACAGAGCAGAGCGGTACTTGGAATTTCGAACATAAGCATTAAATCCGCACAAACAATTTATTAGTTCCAATAAAATCAAAGGGTAAAGAACTATTCAAAATGAAGTTTTCTCTGTTGTAAGCATAATTTGCACTTCAGCATAATTTCAAATGTTGTCCTATTTTCCTTAGACAAAGAAAACAAGAACCAGTCATCATTTGCACTTTTTGGATTATAAATCTTCTCCCAAAATTGCTGTAGCTTTTTAATTTCCATTTCAATCCATTACCATTAAGGGATTAAAAAGGCTGATGGCTTAAAGTTTCTTTAAACTGCTTTCAAATTCTCAGTCACTGGGACATTAAATGATTTTCTAAAATGCAGATTTAAAGAAGAAAGACACTGAAAAAAGGCAAGACGACCCGCAGAAAACTTGCTGCATATATTGAGGAGACCATACAATTAAGATGCTATATTCTCCCTAATTCACAACCTCTCTTAAAACCGAGGAACAGAAGCACAGGGAATCTCACTACAAAGAAGTCAAGTTGTAAACCAGTAGATACCTCTTGAGGCAGCAAGGTATCTAAGCATGTGCCTATGTCTAAAGCACATAAAATGTAGCGCACTGGAAATTCTGAAGTATTTTGCCGACAATGGTCCATGGGACGGGTGGTAAATGTCAATTCTCATTAACATCTTTTGTGATCAAGAATCATTGTTAGCTGACACAGATACCAGATTTTCCTCTTTACACTGGTGGAACCACACCAACGTGTATTAGCTGAGCATGTAACTAAAACACATCAAGCTGTAGACTTTTTCTTAAAAATAGCTGTATCTTCTCTGTCCGTGAGAACTAACCCATTCTGGCAAGAAACCCCCCAGTGACATAGTTGCTGAACAAGCTCTTTTTTTTCCCCCCTCATCTATGTTTTCAGAAAGACAAAGCTGAGGCAAAGAAAGGCGCAAATCTGCTAACTCTTGCAAGGTATTTTTGGAAGGTTGGAAAAGTAAACTTAACGCTATGTGATACTGCATTTAGTTTATCTGTAATATTTGTTTGAACTCATATTCAGAAGCCTAGGAAGGCATACTAGCAGCTCTCACACAAGAGCAGGATCAGACTGCAAGATTGTTTATTTTTTGGCTGCATGGGGGGAAATGGCCGGGAAGGAAGTCTTTGCGAGAGGTAGTTTTCTAATTTGCTTAAAATTGTATAAAACAAATGCCAGATTTCCACCACTATTTTACACATTATTCTGTGGAACTCTACAGATGACAGATGATTAACTCAAGAAATGAAGGTCCATCTCACATGGGGAAGGAGGAGATGACACGTGTGCTACAGAAGATCTGGGTAAACATTTTTGAACCTTGCTGACTCTTCAACCAGATCAGTGCTGGTGAGAGCCTTTACAGACTTTTTGCTTCACTATCATCCTTCAGTTGTTAACATCCTTTAAAGAGCCATGATGACTGAGGTTATGCCTGCCAAGTCTGCTGGTGCTGGCTGCAGAGCCGGTTCTCATGGTCCTTGAGCTGTGCAATGGGATGGGAGGTGAGGCTGAAAAGCACAGTTCTACATAGGTAACATCTCACCTGAGTTTTGATTGTCCTTCTGAGGACAGCCAAGAGAAAATATTTCATTCAAAAACAGAACTGTAAAACAACATATGCCATCTTACCTTCCAAATGTTCTGTTGTAACCAGTCCTAATGCTACCATGAAGGCAATTTTCTAAGGAAAAAATAAATAGGAGTTAGATTCTTTACTACAACAATCATGGTAGAAGTAAGTAAATAAATCTAGCATTGACAGAATAAACCCAGTACAGGTCTTTTAGAAATGTTTCTGATTTGAATGCATAGTAATATGAAGAACTTTAATTGAAGATTTGCTTCAGATATTGCTGGTCAGTCATGTCGTACTTGCATGACTGTATGTCATGAACTTAGCAGTTCAGAGACTTAGGAAGCCAATGCTGTATGACTACTGATTTTATACAAAGCATGACCAAAATTCAGTCAATTCAATCAATTCGATTTCAGGTTGCTAGCTGCTTTGTCCCTCCACTCTTTAAAGAAGTAATTGTGTGTTATTATTACTATCTGGACATGGCACTGCTTTTATTGGATGTGAGCAAGCTGTTTGAAGTAAAAAAAGATACGGTACACTTTCACTGAACTTCACAACACTAAACAAGACATCTGAAGCATATTGAAAGTCCCCTTCCCCCAAAAAAAACTTTCAGAAATTTATTTTCCCAACTTACAGAAAGAATATTATGTGCATGAATTATGCAGAGGTAGACTGATCCAATATTTTCCCTCAATGGGGAGTGAACAAACATCTTCCACTGACACTGGTGAACTCATTTTGCAGTGAGGAATCTGATTTAAAATATTACTCAGAACTCTTGTACATTATATATGGATAAAACAAATCTTCATACTACCAAATCTTCAAAACATGCTGTCCTGTTTTCAGCTGAGATAATTTTTTTTTTTTTCTAGTAGCTGGTATAGTGCTGCGTTTTGGATTTAGTATGAGAATGATGTTGATAACACACTGATGTTTTTAGTTGTTGCTAGGTAGTTGTAGTATCTACAACACAGTTTTAGTGTCAAGGACTTTTCAGCTTCTCACACCCTGTCAGGTGCACCAGAAGCTGGGACAGCACAGGCAGGACAGCTGACCCAAACTGGTCAAAGAGATATTCCATACCATATGGCAAAAGGGTTGTCCCCTGCCATAGAATGGCGTGCTCCGGAGAGAACTGGGGAAGCGAGCCGGGAGGCGGGATTGCTGCTGAGAAGCAGACTGGGCATTGGGGATGGGGGGAGCTTCACAGATGGTGAGCAATTGCACTTGGGCTGCATCATCATCATCATCATCATCATCATCA